GGTAAATTTGTACGTGTTATTGAAAATTTGTAAATAAATCGTTGAGAATCGTTGGGATTTCTTGTAATTTTACGTAGGAAAATTTTACTTTCCCTTTGTTTTTTCTTCCTTCATAAAGAGGAATATTGTTTAATTTAAGTTTTATTTACGTGTTGTTGAAAATTTATAAATATCGTTGGAGAGGATTTCTTGTAATTTTGCGTAGGAAAATTTTACTTTCCCTTTGTTTTTCTTCCTTCATAAAGAAGAATATTGTTTAATTTAAGGTATTTACGTGTTATTGAAAATTTGTAAATTCGTACGTGTTGTTGAAAATTTGTAAATAAATCGTTGAGAATCGTTGGAGGGGATTTCTTGTAATTTTACGTAGGAAAATTTTACTTTCCCTTTGTTTTTCTTCCTTCATAAAGAGGAATATTGTTTAATTTAAGATATTTACGTGTTGTTGAAAATTTGTAAATAAATCGTTGAGAATCGTTGGAGGGAATCGATCTGCGTTGTGAAAACGATCGTATCTCAAATAATTCGTAATTTGAAATTCGTCCTCGAATTTTTATTCAGACGAAAATTATGGATTAATGTTTGTATCGAATTAAATTAAATCGATTCTTCTTTTAATCTCATTTCCTATTTTTATCATTCAAATTCATTTATATAAATGTTAAATTTTCTTGTACATTTTTAGAAAGGAAAATTTTACTTTCCCTTTTCTTGCTTCATAAAGAATATTGTTTAATTCAAAGTTTTATTTACATTTACGTTTTACAACAGCAGTTGAAATTATTGTCGAGTAATTTTTTTAATATACTCATTTTCCTCCATTCTATTTCTATTTCGAGAGAAATTAAAAACTTCCATTTTTTTAATTCTCTTCTTTCTTCTTTTAAACGATTCTAACAACCAGATATCTTATTTTCTTTTCTTCTAATTGGCAAAATCTTTGTAAACGAAAAATAAGAAAATTAATAATTCAATTATTAATACAGTAATTATTATCAAAACTGGAATCTTTTTCACTTACGAAAAAATAATCGTAATGGGATATGATGAACGAATGAAGGGTAAACAATCAGCGAAAAGCATCATTGCAAACCGGGAGGTTTTTCATAAATGCCAAAAACCCGGGACTCTTTGTTGTCTGGTTAACTTATTTACGATGTTACAGCGGTTTTATGATTGCAATGGAGAGAGAGAGATGCGGGACAATCTGGTCCGTGGCCCGGAAGGAATTTGCATTTTATTCGTTTAAGTTCGTATGTTAACACGTTTAGAAGCGGAGAACTGTGTGTACACCGAGTTTCCTCTTTATTGTTTTCCACTTCTTTCGTACAAATCGTTCTTTTTTTTTCCATCTTGTGCAATAATTTTATACATTATTTTATACATTAACTCTGTGTTTATTTTCATTTGAAAAAGTTTGTGTAAAATAAAATTCTACTTGAACAATAATATTAAACGACGAATAAAAAAGAAATGTGACGAAATCTTTCAAAATTATTAAAACAATAATATAGATAAATTTTAATAATAATATTGAAATATTGCATTCATCAATAATAAAAAAAAAAAAAAAAAGAAGATCTCAAAAGATGAAAAGGATTAGCTCAATTACAAATAAAGAAGAATATATCGTATGATATGATATATTTGATAGCAGCAATTGTTCCCTCACACTGGGAAAGTTTCTCCGCTGGTATTACATTATTCCTCGAAACTCTCGAATGTGCTTAATTAGGCGATATTTGAGGAAGCATCCCTTTACGAACGAGCCCATCCTCTCTAAGGTCGGTTTCACGCTCGCAAGCTGCTATTATGGAAAGCCACTGGATTCCCGTAAGAAAGCACGGGTGTCTACCGGCTGCTGTTACCCCACCACCATCCTAGAACGTCTTACCTGAACTAATATTGTTAGGGTCTAATTAGTACCATCGTGACACCGCCTGACCTTGTCCTCTTCCTCCGCCATCTTCTTCCTCCCATTTATCCCCTCCCCTCCTCTCCACTACTTATAATTCTCTTCTATCCGCTATGGCTATGTCGTATGCGTTACTTCCCTTCTCTTTCGTTTTATCCTCTATAATTGTTTCCATTTGTTATTAAACGGCTTTTTGATTATTCTTAAGTGTATATTGATCAGATAGTAGAAAGTTTTCTACGAGATATACAAAGGAGATAAGTAGAGAAATAATGAAAAAAAGTTTATACAAGTTAAGATTTGCAATTAATTTTCCAATATTCTTTTACTATTCTTATTTTATTAGAAAGTTTTACTTGATTTTTGAACACGAGTATTGAACGAAAATTTATAAAATTTATTATAATATATCAAATGAACAGAGAAATGATACTTTAGAAATGATTCTTGAAACGCGATAAGATGAAACAAGTGTTATATATTTATATGAATTTTCTTTTATTGTTTTTCTTTTTTTTTTTATAAATAACGAAGAAGGAAATATTTCCATTCGTTACTGAGTTGATATTCTGTGTACAGCAGGTTGCATCATCTCTTGTGCGTGTTTCTCTCTGTTCAATTTTAACGGTCGTTCCAGAGGCAACTTGCATAAGTTGCCAGACCGTGTCTGAGGAAAGGACATTCGCCGCTCCCTGTTATCATGCTACTGGGTTTAGATTATGGGAGAATTTCAGGGAACGTTCAGTCGATTATACTTGTGGTTGAAAGTTTCACGTGTACGATACCTTGGATCTTGGTATTCTTGCGTTTGAAATGGACGTGACGTTGTTATGAAATTGTTTTCGTTTTCTCTTAAAAAAAAAAAAAAAAAAAAAGAAAAAGAAGAAGAAAAATGGAAATTTCGAGAGAAATCTAATTTAATATAATTATTCCGCAAGCATCGAGTTAGAAAATTTATTTTTTCAATCGTATTTCGTTAAATAAGTAAAAAGCATATAATACACTGTATGAATATGTAAAATATTATTATATTTATATTTGTCGTAATTATCTAATTTTATTCGAATTACGTTTTATATACATGTTAATTCATAATAATTATATAATTTGCTATATTCCGTGCATTTATAAATTCATATATTCTATGTATAATATATTTCGCGTTGATTACTCGGCCTTCTCAAATATCTCTGAATACAAATGTTACGTGTAAGCAATTTTGTTTTATTATTTTCCCCTCTTATTATTGCATTATTGAAGGAATGTATTCTTGAAAAGGAAATATATCTCATAAAAATTCTATCTATAATAATGAAATTTCGAGAAATAGTCAATCAATACAACAGGCTACAAAAGGCCTCTAATAAATCTTTCAGACAAACTATCGAAGTTTCTATTCAACGTGTTAATAGAAATTCGATGTTAATCAAGTTTCCTTTGTATCATAAATCGAACAATTTACAACGAAGCGAAGAAAATTCAACGAGGTGGATTTTCAACGAGCGTGCAATCATTCGATGGTAAAACGTGTCCCAAGTGTGAGAATCCCGTTTCATGATGTTGCGAATAGAGATTGCGTTCTATCGATCTATTCTTATTCACCTACACTTCCGTGTCACAGTTGTGTCGAGAAGTAATGGTGGTTGAAAAGTAGCTTATTTAGAATCTGTTGTGAACGAGTAAAACAACTCGTGTTGGCAACTATTACCTGTCAATATCTGTCAATTTTCTTTACTTCATCGTCGTTAATCTTCTTAAAGCTTTGCTTTCTCCACATCGCTTTTTTCTATTATCATTAAACGAATTAATATTTTTAATCTCCAATTTAAGAAGTTGATAAATTGTATCATTTATATTCTTCACTATTGCTGTCGCTATTGAAATACCAAGAAATATTTTAAAAATGTATTTCTATTTAATAATATTTAAGATCTAAGGTAATTTTATCTATTAATAGGATCATATGCTCTCTCTCGATGTTAGAAAAATATGACGACATATCTAGCAGTCTTTATAAAGATTAGCTTGGCTCGTATTATCTCATTAGTTTTGAAAGAGAGTTAAATGGAGGAAGAATTCTCTCTTGTCATTTATGAAATGAGAAGCCATATTTCGTGTTGCAGCAATATATGTTATAAATAATAAAAATTTTTATTCTACTTCTTATTATATTTTTTTTAACGGACTAATATTTTCTTCCTTTATATAAAATTCTTGATCCTCTCATTTTTGCCATAATCGAAAATATTATTTTCATTTTCGTGATTCCAATTTATATATGGAATTTTATTTTACTACTCTTATCTACAATTGTATCGAACATATGTTCTTAATCGTGTTCCTTATTTTTTCCTCGCATTTTTTTACTACTATTTTCTACCTTTTTTTTTAAATTACTGCACTCGAACATGTAGAAGCCTGAAATCACGTTAAAGCTCGTTGCGACACCCAAGTTACGAGAGGGCGTAAAATCTAAAGGTAGGAGCTTTCGATATTAGCTGCATTATAAACCACTTGTACGTGAGTGTTTCACTTACGGACAAATTGCAGATAGGTCGTATGCGCGCGCATCAGGCTACCACGTGACTATATTGCATATAATGGTGGCATGCTGTTGCACGCGTGTAACCCTTCGCGGGAATATTGTTCACGGTGGGGAAGGATCCGTAATTAAAATTGCCTTTAATCGTGCTTCCGTGCCACTTGTATATACGAGCTCGCTGTCCTTTTACGCCAAAGAGGAATTTCTTTCCTTAAAGCTTCTTGTTAATTTTATATTGCTATAGTTGAATATCTTCTCGATACGCTTCTATCGCTTCTGTGATGTATGTATAAAAAAAGATTTGGACAAATTATTAGAGAAGTTTAACGTGAATAATTGTTACATTCACAGTATGATAGTTGTTAAATAATTATTAATGGAAAAGAAAATTGTAGAAATTAAACAATGAATCATCATTTGTTTTAAAATCGTTCGAAGAAATAGAATACAATTGGAATGTTAATGTTTAAGCTGCGACGAAAGATAAAATAATTAAATTCTAAATGCTAGATTCTAATAAATTGTATTTTATTTTTGTTTCAGGGCCGATGTAATCGGGAAAAACCCCCGTGCAAATATTTCCATCCACCACAACATCTGAAGGACCAGCTTTTGATAAACGGGCGTAATCATTTGGCCCTAAAGAACGCGCTGATGCAGCAGATGGGTCTTACACCGGCCCAGCCACTAGTGCCTGGCCAGGTACCAGCAGTGGTATGTCCAAACTTTAACACATTCGTTGCACCACGTCTTCTGCTGTTCACACATCCACACATTTTCTTTTTACCACGGTCGAGAGATTTTGAGTTTTGTCTGTGTTAGTCGACGACTACCACTAGATTACCCTTTTGGTAGGTAACGCTGTGTAAATAGTCACGATGAAGTGTATCATTTGATCCTTATTATTAAAAAATATTAAAGTATAATATAAGTTATGATCCATATTTTTTCCTAACAATTAATAGTTAATAATATATATGTTACAATTATCTATATTATTAAAATTATTCTTTATCTCCTTTCTCTGAAAAATTTAAGTTTTTTTCTCCTCTTCTTTCCAAGTTTTGTATTTGATTTTTGTATCGTTATTAGAGAAATTTTACACCTCGTCGTTTTCATTTATCGGCGTTCTTTATTTGCGGGCATTGCACCGAGAGATAAAACTTCAGAGAGTAAACTTTAGCACGCCGCATGTTTTTGGTCAGTGTCACCCCTTACTCCTTTAATTTATCCATGATTCTTGATAGACAGTCAATATTTATATATTATATATATTTATTAAAAGATCAGTTTTTTTTTTCTAAATAGAAATGTAGTACAGTTATTAGTTCTAGATTACTGTCGAATATAAATTAAAAGGCAAATACAATTATTTTGTTGATTCGTCAATGTTATTTCTTTCTTTTTTCTTTTTTTTTATCTTTTTTAAATCACAACATATATATATGTATATATGATGTATATATATCATGTATATATATCATTTGGCGAATCCACAAAATGTACCCCATCTGTTCCATTTAAAAAAGAATGATAATACAATAACAATGAAAAATTTACAAAAAAAAGGAAAGATAAATGATTTAGTTTAACAAATGTTGTCTCTCATTGCGTGCACATGCAATGAAAATAGCGAAATACAATTGATTCGTTCCCCTAATTAATTATTTATGATAATTTTAACGCCTAGAAAGGAAATTTTCACCAAAGAAATCAGATCATCATTACGCCCACCCGCCTTTTATTTTCATGACATATAATTCATAGTCGTTGCTACGTGACATCGAATCCTATACTACTCGTATGACTGCCTGTCTGTCCCCTATGTTTGCCGCTGTGGCTCTCGTGGTTGTGGTTGATTGTTGGTGTGTTCTCCAATTACGTCATTGGTGAACAGGAGGCACCAGCACCTCCGGCACCACACCATCACCTTCAACAGCAAATCCAGCAGCAACTTCTCGCTACCCACGCCTTTATGGTAACTCCTGGTTTTGGTTGGCTTCCACTAATTTTTTAGTTAATTAAAGTGCCACGCGATGGCGCTGACATAGGAAATAAATCTGTTCCTATTAAATATTAAATGTTTAATTTACTAATATTATATTACTTGTATTATATATCTATATTTCTTCAGAAATCTTGCTTATTATTATTTTTTTTTTTTTTAATAATAATTTTAACCTTAATGATTTTTAACTAATATTCGATTTTGAGTTATTATAACGAAGTTGAAGCCGCAGATTTATTTCAGATGGCACCGCTATCGCGCGTGTTAGTGTGCCTGTAAGATTAGTAAGCGTTTGTATGAAAGCTTCAACTTGTTTTCAAAAGAGTGCCGCACTGTAAATTAAGATTGAGACTTGATATGCATGCTTCACGAAATGTTTCATTTTGTTTTTATCAAAAGTTAAGAAGTTTCTCTGTACATTACGACAGAGTTTTTTTTACCTTTAGAGAATTTTTTCCTTGAAAGCATGAATTATTTTGCGGCCAAGTTAAATCGTGGCGTTTCTCTCTCTCTCTCTCTCTCTCTCTCTTTTTTTCTCTCCCTCTCTCTATTTCTCTCACTCTATTTCCATGAAAAATTTAGAAATTCGTTCGTTATCTATTTGTTACTTCTTTTTGATTGTTCAGTGTTAAAAGTTTTTTAAAATACGTGCATGCAGTTTGTTCTGAAACCAATGTTTCGCGAAAATGTGAAAAGGTTTACGATACAATCTCGACAATCTTTTCGATTCATTCGAGAAAATATGACATTAAATTCTTTTTTCTCTCATAATTACTCATACAGATTTTCTTCTCTTCATAAACTTGCATTCGAACATCATAAATTTTTTTTTACCAAACATTATCTAAAAGATTTTATTTTAAAAAAAGAAAAAGCTAATATTTACCTTCAGAACAAATTCTAAGATAATTTCGATCCCAATAACAAAATTTAAACGTAACGATTGCCAACCTTTTCTATTTTCATCAATTCGAACGATCATCAAATTAACAAATTCCCCAAATATAACATTTAATTATTTAATTTCAACAACTATCAACGTCGAATTTTACAAGAGATAAAAAAAAAAAAATCGAGAGCGAGGGAAACGCGCGCGAAACGATCGCGAACGATCGAGGCACGCCTCGAAGCCGGACGACTTTATATTCCCTCTTCCTCTTCGAAGAGGGGGAAAAAACTGTTTTCCGGGTCAACGGCCATTATCGCTCAAAGTTTTTCGGCGGCTGGCGTGCCTCGGTTGTCCTGGAAGCTTCTATACGTCGAAAGTTCGAAGAATACAAGCACACAGGGTCCTTAAGAAGAAGAAGGAACGGGCGTTCAGCTCATTCGGCTGCGCTTCAAATTACCTGCCTTCGCTTCTGGGAAGCCCGTTCTCTGCAAAACCAAAAATGCTTCTTATGGGAACGCGCGCTTGTCGTTCAAAATGGCGGTTACAAGCGCGACGAGACGAAACGAGATCAAGACCTCGCGAGTTATTCCGCCATCGTTCTTTTCTTCGTGGATTTTTTTTATTTTTTTCAAAGTTTTGCAAGCGTCGAACATGAATTTGGGGACAAGTTGATTTTTTTTCAAATTAAAATTTGATTTTTATCTTCTAGCTTCATTGCGAGAAAAATCTATCTATATGTAATGTTTTCTATTTTCTATTTTCATCCAAGTGACTTATATTGACTTTTTTTTTTTTTTTGTCAAACGAAGAAGAGAACGTTGCAATTTTTAAAGATTCATACGTGAAGGTTTAATATTTAATAATTGAAATCTGCTTTGATTTTGAATATTTTTATTAATATATTTTGAATTTATATCTTAAATGAAGAGAAAAAAAATTGTTATTATTTTGTTGATATTATGCTCTTTTAAAATATGTACAATTTGTATTTTTCGATTAAAAAAAGTAGAATATAAATAAGAAACAATATATATTTTCATAGCTTGAAATTTTGTGTAAGCTTTCAGTATAGCCACGAATCTAATATATAAATATTTAAAAAGAAAAAACTTATCTCATAAGACAGAGGTGACAAACTTCTTCCAATTGTTTGTCCAGACATCCAATTTCTCCATCATTGTTAGACATATATAGAAAAAATACAACGTTAATGACATTCAGAAAACAGAAAAGAAAAAAATATCAAGATCAAATCAATCAATGTGAAAAATACCTTCGAACGAATCACTCGAATCGCTCGCGAAGTCTCGATCTCGTGGCAAAGTAACAAAGATCTCGTTCTCAAATCGCAATCACACGTAGATTGGGTGGGTCTGTATCGCGCTTGCGTCGTGAAGGGTTGGCGAAGAGCTGTAGAGCACATAAAGACAGAGAAAAAAAAAAAGAAAAAAAAGAAAATAAAAGAGAAAAACTTAAGTTAAGATCGGGGGATGCACAAACGATGACAAGTCGCGTGGAGGCGAAGGTGGGGTTTTTTTCTAATCCGTGTTACCTGGATACTTTCCGGGTTTGTTTTCACAGGCGACGAATCCGTACCTGACCGGTATGCCGCAGGTTGGCAACACGTACAGCCCGTATTTCGCGCCCAGCCCCATCATGCCAGCGATCATGGGGCCTGCGGACCCAACCGGAGTCGGAAGCCCATTGGGCGTGGTCCCGCAGACGGTGGCGATGCCGCAGAAGATGCCACGTACCGACCGCCTCGAGGTATGTCTACCACCAAACTACATTCAACAACAACAACAACAGCAACAACAACAACAACAACAGCATGGGGCCCAACACGGCGCAGCCGGGGCCTCAAGGTGCCCGATGGCCGCGCCCAATACCGTGTACCAAGTGCCGGCCGGTCCCCCCAATCAGGTGTCGCCCGTTTCCACGATGCAATCTGTCAATCATCCACCATCCCCGACGACTATCACCACTACCTCCTTCTGTACCCCGTTGCACAATCCTCACGCCCACCATCATCCGATCCACAACCTGATCTACGTCCACGCGTACTATTGAAATCGATTTTATCGATCGTCGATAAACAAGCTCTCTTCTTTCCCCATTTTCTTTTCTCTCGTTTTTTTTTTTTTTTTTTTTTTTTTATCTTTACCTGTGTTTACGCGCGACAATTAAATCGGCCCCGCCGATTTCTTCGCGCGTTTCGATTCGGATTTGTACCGTGCATCGGTCGATAACGTGGATATAACGTGGATGATTTCGCCGAGATCGAATTTTTATTTTTTCTCACTCTTATTTGGGAAGAAGAGACCGGTTGAGATTCATTTCGAAAGGAAACGTCGGAGGTTTGAAGAACGTTCGAGAGAAGATCGGGGATCCAAAATTCGAGATTTTCGAGAAAAAGAAAAGAAAAGGCAAGAACCTAAGGCTGGAAATCGGAGATATCTCGATGATTCTCGTCGATTCTCCCGAGATCATCTCGATGGGGTTGAGGAGAACGTGTTATTCGTTCCATCGACCCAAGGAAATCTTATATTTATATACGATATATTATATTCGATAAATCAGTATAATCCGTGCGCGATGTGAAAACGTATAAAATCCGAAAAAGAGAAAAAAAAGAAAAAGAAAAAAAAAAAAAAAGAAAAAAAATTATAATAAGATACGTCGCGTAAAATATAAAATAAAATATTCAGCTTCGTTGTCGTTCGTTCCAGATGGGCGAGAAAATTATTTTTCGATTTTATTCGATCGGGGTCGAGTTGTCGAACGCTTAAACGACCATGATCCGCGCGAAACTGCGCTGTGACGATGATTTCACGGATCGTTTGTAGCAGGGCGAATTGGAGCGAAACGAAGCTCATTAATGGCGAAACGGAAACGAAATGGCGAGTCCGTGCCTCTGCAGAAAGGAACACGGCTCCTCGATCGGTAACTAGGCAATTATATCGGTACGTTTTTGATGAAACGGTGTGGCTCTAACGATTTCTATATAACCTTTTTAGTAATCACTTATCATAGCACTGTACGTATATGGTGAATACGAAATTTAAGAAAGTTGCATTACGCGAAGATAGGGGTTAGAGAGTTCTCGAGAACGGTGGCGCCATTGGCGATTGATTTTTTTTACTTTTTTTTTTTTTTTTTTTTTTTTTCTTTTGTTCGTGCGGTGGATTGATTGGATACAAATCGGTGGAAGCAACTATTAATGGCAACGACAAAAAAAACGTGATTATTAATAACGATGAAAAACTCGTGATTATTAACTATTATTATTAAAATGATAGATAGTAAGATATCATGGTGAGGAGTGGATTAGTCAGAAGGTGTGCAACGATCTTCGATGTGTTTCAGATTTTTAATAAAAAGCGATATTTGTTTTTTTGTAATAGTTTTTCTCAAGTTTTTTTGATTTTTATTTCAAAGAATCAATTTAAAATGACAAAAGTTACTCGTGATGTGAACACGTTCGAAATCACGAAAGAAATTGCTTAAAATGGAGAAAAATTAAATCAAAACTGAATGTAACGTGCAGGAGAAAAGTCGATTGATATAAAAGCAAGTAGGAATTTGTAATTCCATGCTCTTAACAATTTTTATATAAAATCTAAAAAAAAGGAAACATAAAAACGCGAACAAGTAAAATAATGATTAAAAAAAAAAAAAATAACCAATTTCAAATATTTCTTTCTAACATTTCATTAAATTAAAAATCCTCTTTTAGCGTAAACAATTTTTTTATACATCATCAAAATTACAAACAACGTTTGTACAACGTTGTACAACGTTTCCTGCCTCGTGATTTTCAAAAAATTCGCTATATAATTATTATTTCCAATTATAACTCGAACATTGAAAGAAATAAACGATTACCCGATACAATTGAAGATAAAATTATTTAAAAATATATATATATATATATATATATCTTTACATAATTATGAATAGAAGAAAAAAGGTCTCGTCTTCAGATTGCTTACCTACACATTCCTATCTCCTATCCTAGGATCGTATCGTTCAAAACAAAAACAAAAACAAAAACAAAAAAAAACAACGTTTAAAAAGAAAGAACATCGATCTAAAACAACGTGCATAAGCGCAGTATATTTTCATCCCTCGAAAACGAATAACGACGGATTTTAATCGAGACTCGCAAATTACCGTTTACATCATTAAGTAACACAAGTGGGAACGCCCAACGATAACGTTTCTTCTACTGTGCTCTTTTGCAACGAAAGCTTTCCGCCCCCCTCTTTTAGATAAGAAGGGATAAGTTTATAACGTTCGAGTTTACAGATTTCCCCGGAGCCTGTATCGCTTCTTTCGCCCGCCGGGTCTTCTCGCGGAATTAACAAGTTTCGCCCGTTGGATCGGCGCGGCGGAAAATGAATAAAATCGGCGGCCAAATCGGAGGGGAAGGGGAGGGAGTGGTGGTAAAGGTGTTGCGCGCGTGAAACTCTCGGCGCGGCTCGTTTGTGAAATGGAGCTTCCCTCCCGGTTTTTTTCCTCCGGAACAAGAAACTGCTCTTCGTAGAAAGCGAATTTAATACGTTTTCCGTGTATTCGACCGATAACGAGACCGACTCCCAAACGCCAACGGAAATCTATGGCGTTTCTCTTCTCCGTTCTACCTCTGATCGCCTACGAGGAGCAGAAATCGTAGATGTAGAAAGAGAAATCGATGGATCGCGTGATTGTTCGAATGATTCTTTGAAAGTTTTTTCTTTTTTTCTTTTTTTTTTTTTTTTTTTTTTTTTTTCACTTCACAAAAATCGCTCGAATTCTTTGTTTTTACGATCGGATTTAAGCGTGAAGTATTGGCGAGAATTATTTATGGAATTTTGGGAAAATTTGGTGAATTTAGTGGAAAATGAGTTGTAATTCGTTATTGATTGATAAGTAGAAATCTATTTTTAACGGAATAAGCCGAGACATTTTGCTATTTGTTGAATATTTCTGCTTAATAAATAAAATTAACGAAGTTCAAGTTTATTGGCGATGAAAATATTTGTTAAAAGAATATGATATATGTCGTAGATTGAAATGCTTAATAAAGAGAAGATTAATCGATGAACGAAAAATGATGTCATCTTGATGGTATAAATACAGACGACGTAGAGAAATACAAAGTATTCCTGAATGCTAAAAAAGCGAATTCAAAGGAAAATTGTACGAAATTGGAATGAAATCGAAATTGGAATGGAATACTTTCCCGAATGAAATAAATAACGATAATGATACGGATTTAAAGATATATAAGTAATTTTTTTTTGAAAACATTAAAGATCGTTGCATATTTTTCCAAAAAGGAACAGAATTTTAACAACGTTTTAAAGAATCTATGCACTCATGTACGTATGCAGAATACGTTTGTACTTACGCGCCATTCCAACCATGCATGCGCGCGCATAGTAACACGTGTACATAGTAGGTAGGTTAACAAATTAACTGATTGTGTTTTGTATCGAGGAGAACGAGAGTTTGAAAATAAGATGCCTTGGTTCGATATTATTCTTCGTGATGCTTTCTAAATTCTAAACGATGCTTTCTTATTTTTACACGAATGATCGATTAATATTACGATATCACTTAACCTATATTTTGCTAGAGATTTTATCGTGTTTACAATGAACTTTTCAGCCTGGGGCTCGAACAAGTGTCTTTTCTTTTTTACCTACGCGATTTTATATTCGAATTTTTATATTCCTTTTATTATTATTATTATTATTATTACTATTATTATTATTATTATTACTATTATTATTATTAATATTATTATTATTATTAATATTATTAATATTATTATTATTATCATTATTATTATTATTATTATTAATATTATTAATATTATTATTATTATTATTAATATTAATATTATTATTATTATTATTATTATTATTATTACTATTACTGTTATTATATATTTCTTTTTTAATATTCGATATTTCGCGGCGTTCGAAATTTTCCCACTATCTTCCATGATTATTCCTTTCCCGCGAAAAAAAAACACGTTTCAAATTTTTGTACTGTCCTCTCTCCCTCGTCTAAAGTAATGATGTTAGGACCTTACGATTAAGTACGAACGAAAAAGAAAAAAAGAATACGGAAAAAAGAAAAATATATGAATTATTATGCAATGTAATGTCGTTAATTAAACAAACTATTGCAAATAGAATTCGGAACTATTATCGATCGACTTATCAGCTAACCATAATTGGTCTTTAAACGGTAATTATAATTATTATAATATTTGGTAACGTACGATAATGATGATAATTAGTATATCGTAAACGATATATCTGTTTGTGATGTAACACTCGATGACTTGCACTAAGTTCGGGTCAACATGAAATTTATTGACGAATGAATTCAAATAAAAGAAATATAATTGAAATTAAAAAAAACAATGCACAGACTGTTTATTGAATCTTTTTTTTGTTTTTTTAAGTTTTATATATATATACATCTCCGTACGACCAAAGAAACTACAAGTAGAAGAAAAAAATAGTATTAAAAAAAAAAAAAAAAAAAAAAAAAAAAA